TTTTGTATTTTTAGTAGAGACCGAGTTTTGCCGTGTGTGCCAGACTAGTTTTGAACTCCTGACCTCAGGTGATCCACCCACCTTGGCCTCCCAGAATGCTCGGATTACAGGTGTGAACCACTCAGCCTGGCCCACTATCCTATTTTCTATCTCTGCGAGTGTGAGTACTCTGAGGACCTCATGTAAGTGGAATCCTACGGTATTTGTCCTCTTCTGACTGGATTATTTCACTTAGCCTAGTGTCCTCGGGGTCATCCAGGTTGTAGCATGCAACAGGATTTCCTCCTCCCCAACCCTTGTTGTCTTGACTTAGAGCCTTGCTCTGCCACTTGGACTATAGTACAGTGGCCATCATAGCAACTCCTGGATTCAAGTGATCCTCCCACCTCAGCCTTCCACGTAGCTGGGACTGCAGGTGTGTGCCACCGTGCTCGACTTTTTTTTTTTTTTAAGTTTTAAAGTCGGAGGGACAAGGAGGGCTCAGTGGTTCACACCTGTAATCACAGCACTTTGGGAGGCTGAGGTGGCAGGGGGCGGGGCGGGGGGGGGATCACCTGAGGCTAGGAGTTCGAGACCAGCCTTGGTAACATGGTAAAAACCTGTCTACTAAAAATACAAACATTAGTCAGACGTGGTTGCACATGCTTGTAATCCAAGCTTCTCCGAGGCTGAGGCAGGAGAATCACTTGAACCTGGGAGGCAGAATTTACAGTAAGGTGATATCACGCCACTGCACTCCAGTCTGGGCAACAAAGTGATACTTCCTTTCAAAAAAAAAAGTTGACTGGGCGAGTTGGCTCACACCTGTAATCCCAGTTCACAGGTGTGAACCACTGAGCCCTCCTTGTCCCTCCGACTTTAAAACTTAAAAAAAAAAAAAAAGTCGAGCACGGTGGGAGGCCGAGGCGGGAGGATCACGAGGTCAGGAGATGGAGACCATGCTGGCCAATATGGTGAAACCCTGTCTCATTGCAAATTGCTTGAACCAGGGAGTCAGAGGTTGCAGTGAGCCCAGATCGCGCCACTGCACTCCAGCATGGTGACAAAGCAGGACTCCATCTCAAAATAAAAAAAGAAAATGTTTTGGAGAGATGGGAGTCTTACTTTGTTGCCCAGGCTGGTCTGGAACTCTGGGCTCCGGCGATCATCCTTCGGCCTCTTGAAGTGCTGGGCTTACAGGCATGAGCCACTGTAGCTGGCCAGCACTTAATTTTATTGTTATTATTTCTTTGCTTTTTCATAACATTGATGTTTTGAAGGTTACAGGCCACCTCCTTTATTGAATTATTTTTGTTTTTTGAGATGGAATCTTGCTCTGTCACCTAGGCTGGAGTGCAGGGGCATGATCTCGGCTCACAGCCACCTCTGCCTCCGAGGTTCAAGCGATTCTTCCACAGCCTCCTGAGTAACTGACACTACTACAGACATGTGCCACCATGCCCAGCTAATTTTTGTACTTTTGGTAGAGACGGGGTTTCACCACATTGGCCAGGCTGGTCTCAAACTCCTGACCTCGTGATCCGCCTGCCTTGGCCTCCCAAAGTGCCGGAATTACAGGCATGAACCACTGCCCGTGGCCCAGGCCACATCCTTTATAGAGTGTCCCTCATTTTGGCTTTGTTTCATGTTTTGTTATTATTAGAATCAAGTTATACATTTTGGCAGCAAAACCAAAGAATATGTGTCTCCCTCTTTGCCTGACATCAGAGGCACATAAGGTCAATTTGTCCTGTTAATGGTGATGTTAACTTGTATCATCTGGTTTATGTGATGTCTGCCAGTATTTCCCATTAATACTATCTTTTTTTTATTGCAGTAAGTAATCTGGGAGAAGATACTTTGAGAGTAAATAAATATTTTGTTCTTTTTTTTTTATTTGAGATACAATCTCACTCTGTCACTGGAGTGTAATGACACGATCTGAGCTCACTGCAACCTCCGCCTCCCGGGTTCAAGCGATTCTCGCACCTCAGCCTCCTGAGTAGCTGGGATTACAGGCATTCACCACCATGCCTGGCTAATTTTTTTTTTTTTTTTTTTGACACAGAGTCTTGCTCTGTTGCCAGGCGACAGGCTGGAGTGTAGTGGCGCAATCTCAGCTCACTGCAACCTCCACCTCCCAGTTCAAGCAATTCTCCTGCCTCAGCCTCCTGAGTAGCTGGGACTCCAGACGAGCACCACCACACCCAGCTAATTTCTGTATTTTAGTAGAGATGGGATTTCACTATGTTGGCTAGGATGGTCTGGACCTCTTGACCTCGTGATCTGCCCACCTCGGCCTCCCAAAGTGCTGGGATTACAGGGGTGAGCCACTGCGCCCGGCCTGCTAATTTTGTATTTTTAGTAAAGACAGGGTTTCTCCATGTTAGTCAGGCTGGTCTTGAATTCCCGACCTCAGGTGATCCACCCATCTCAGCCTCCCAAAGTGCTGAGATTATAGGCATGAGCCACTGCTCACGGCCTTAATTTTTTTTTAAATTGTTTTTGGTGCGGTGGCTCATGCCTATAATCCCAACACTTTGGAATGCCAAGGCAGGCAGATCACTTGAAGTTAGGAGTTTGAGACCAGCCTGGGCAACATGGTGAAACCCCATCTCTACTAAAAATGCAAATTTAGCCAGTTGCGGTGGCAGGCACCTATAATCCCAACTACTTGGGAGGCTGAGGCGGAAGAATGGCTTGAACCTGGGAGGTGGAGGTTGCTGTGAGCTGAGATCGTGTCACTGCACTCCAGCCTCGGTGACTGGGGTCTTGCTATGTCACTTAGGCTGGTTTTGAAGTCCTAGGCTCAAGCAGTTCTCCCTCTTCAGCCTCCCAAAGTGCTGGGATTATAGGCATGAGCCACCGCACCTGGCCTGTGGTATGTTTCATAGTAATATGAAAATAATTAGAGCAAGGTTGAGATAGAGAGTAACAGGACATCCCTCCTGGGTAAAACAGTCCTGCCCCCTCACACTCTCATCTACCCTCCCGTGGGTCTCCCTTCTACTGTCGTCTGCCAGAAACTGAGCCAAGTGCACTTGCAGACGCCATCTGTTCTCTCTGGGAGTGGGGCTGGTGCCAGCTCCAGCATCTGGACTCTTGGCACAGAGCCCTGGAGCCCTGGAGCGAGGGAACTCCGGCCCCACAAAGACCGGGGAATCCTCCAATCTGGTGTGACAGAGGGCTTCTGGGAAGGAAGGCCAATGTGAGGCTCCCTGAAGGAGGTAGAGGCTTGCAAGATAAGGAGAGTCTTGTAATCAGTCCGAAGGAGATGGATGTAAATGATAATATTAATAAGTACCATCAAATGCATTCAGAGTGCTTTCTCTGCCAGCCTTTGGATGAATGTTGGATATTTGTTCTTTTTAATTTTTAATTTTTCTATTTCCTAGGCAGCTCCTGAAACAAAATAGGTTCAGAGAGGCTCCCAATGTTGGACATTTGGTGTTGCACCAACTCCAAGTACTCCACATATGTTATCACATAGAGGTGAGGAGCATTATCCCCATTTTGCAGGTGAAGAATTTGGTGTTTAGAGAGGGGAAGGCATTGTCTAGAGGCCACACACTCAGTGCCTTGAACCTGGAAAGGGGCCTGGCGCGGTGGCTCAGGCCTGTAATCTCAGCACTTTGGGAGGCTGAGGTGGGTGGATCACCTGAGGTCAGGAGTTCGAGACCAGCCTGACCAACATGGAGAAACCCTGTCTCTAAAAATACAAAATTAGCTGGGCGTGGTGGTGCATGCCTGTAATCCTCGGTACTTGGGAGGCTGAGGAAGGAGAATCACTTGAACCCAGGAGGTGGAGGTTGCAGTGAGTAGAGATGAAGCCATTGCACTCCAGCCTGGGCAACAAGAGTGAAACTCCATCCCCACTGCCCCCCCACCAAAAAAAAAGAGCCTGGAAAGGAACCCAGGTCTGTGGTCTGTGTGGCTCCAAATGCTGACTCATGAACATTACTCGTACCACATGACAATCAGAGCGTCAACCTACTGGACCCCACTCCTGAGCCTTCTTTCCCTAGAAGCTCCCACCCCACCTGCCTCTGCTTCCTCCTTGCTCATTGACTCAGCAAGGGCCGCAGGAGCCCTGGGTTACAATCTGCTGGGCTTGGTACCAGCTGTTTACTGTGGCCAAGTGAGCATACATCTCTGAGCCCCAGTTTATTTATCTGCAAAACAGGGAATGAAAACAAGCCAACCCCTCAGCAACCCCCTCCCCCCCCAAAAAAAACCCCAAAACAAAATAGGCCAGGTGCAGTGGCTCACACCTGTAATCCCATCGCTTTGATCCCAGGAGTCTGAGGCTGCGGTGAGGATCATGCCACTGCATTCCAGCCTGGGCAACAGAGCAAGACCCTGTCTTTTAAAAACTAAAAAAATCTGGCCCGGCCTGGTGGCTCACGCCTATAATCCCAGCATTTTGGGAGGTGAGGTGGGCAGATCATGAGGTCAGGAGTTCGAGACCAACGTGGCCAACATGGCAAAATTTTGTCTCTACTAAAAATACAAAAATTAGCTGGTCGTGGTGGCATGTGCCTGTAATTCTAGCTACTCGGGAGGCTGAGGCAGGAGAATCGCTTGAAGCGGGGAAGCGAAGGTTGTGGTGAGCCAAGATCACACCTCTGCACTCCAGCCTGAGCGACAGAGCGAGACTCCCTCTCAAAAAAAACCAAACCAAAACAAAAACAAAAAACCAAAGTAAAATAGCAATGACAAGGACCAAAAAAAAAAAAAAAAAAAAAACCCAAAAAGCCGGAGCTACTGAGAGCAGGAATGAATGCGATGATAATTTAAACTTGGGCATAGTCTGCCCTCAATGAACTGATGCTGTGCCCTTAGGCAATTTATCTAACCTTGGCCTCCCGCGTGAAACAGAGGACAATAAACGATTGTGCCTCTTAGGGTTGTGCTGAGGAACACACGTGTATGTATGTTTATTTGCAAAGCACTTAGAGCGCACGGTCCTTGTTGCTGTTATTATTATTGGCTATTATTGCGCAAAGGGGAAGGGAGGCGGGACCAAGGCAGGAAGGCTCTGGAGAATCCGGGGCGCCCCCTTCTCCGGCAGCGCTTGGGCCTGGGCTCGCGGAGAAGGGGCTGTCATTCTCCAGGGATTTCCTGCCTGCTCCTGGACCCCGGGGAGTCGTGAGAACCTGCTCCCAGACGCTGAAGCTGACGTCGGCCTTCAGGGCCCCCTCGCCCGTCGCTGTGGAGGGGCGGAGCCTGGGAGGCTGTCGCCCCGCCCCATCCCCGCCCCCGCCCCCCTCGCGCTGCAGGCCCGGGGCGGTGAGACCCACTAGGAGCACAACGCTGGGTCCCCGCCCCTTGGGCAGCCAGACTCTGGGTGCGCTGTTTGCCCACCCCACCGGTGGCAGGGGCCGGGCGGGTGTCGGTGCGGGGGGTACAGGAGGCCCTGGCCTGTGATCGTGAGCGGTGAGTGATGGGCGGAGGTGAGGGGGCCACAGTCCCTCCCCTGGGTCTTGGAGCTGCGGGATGAGAGGGCAAAGCTTTGGCGAGGAAATTAAGGTTTGGAGTGAGCGGGCAGGAGGCGTGGGGGCCTCCCAGGGGGATCATAGGACGAGAAGAATATTCTTTCTGGTGGTGTTGAGAGTGTACCTGTATATGTGTGCTGGTTTGAGGGTGTTTATGGGGTGAGGTGTGCAAAGGAGGATTCTGGAGAGCTGGTGTGTGTGGGAGTTGTGTGGAGTCATGGGTGTGGGTGGCGCAGGGGAGGGGCGCCTGGGCCTGATGAGTGGGGCAGGCATGCAAGAGAAGTCATGGGAATAGGGGAGAGTGCTGGGTGCTTGTGTGCGTGTGCACACGTGTCTGTGGTTTGTGATGCAGCGGGGATTAGAATTGTGCAAGGAGTCAATTGAGATAAATGTGGAAGAAGGTTGGGTGCCTGAAAGGGTGTTTTTGGGGAGCTGATGTTTGGGGCAAATATACAAGGAGTCCTTTGGGAGCTGAATGTGTGGAGGTGGAGGCTGGGCTTGCCTAGATGGGCTCTGTGGCAGGGGACTTGAGGGGCAGGTCTACGAGACAGAGGAGGGGAATGTAGGCTAGAGTGAAGTTCCAGGCAGCACTGGGGGTAGGAGATGGCTGTGTGTGTACCTGGGAGGGGTTCATGGACCTGGATAGGTGGTCACAGTGTATGAACCTGGGATGGGTATGGGAGTGTTGGGGCATGTGAGTGTGTAGGGCAGAGTGCAACAGGTGCAACTTATTGGGGTAAGGGTGTGATGGGTATGTGGCTGTGCCTGAGAGAAATGCCCAGAAATTGGCCGAGTGCAGTGACTCACACCTGTAATTCCAGCACTGGGAGGCCAAGGCAGGTGGATCCCCTGAAGTCAGGAGTTGGAGACCAGCCTGGCTAACACAGTGAAACCCCATCTCTACTAAAAATCCAAAAATATTAGCCGGCCATGGTGGCAGGCACCTGTAGTCCCAGCTACTTGCGAGGCTGAGGCAGGAAAATCGCTTGAACTGAGGAGGTGGAGGCTGCAGTGAGTGGAGATCGTGCCATTGCACTCCAGCCTGGGTGACAGATGGAGACTCTATCTCAAAAAGAAAAAAAAAAAATGCCCAGAATTGAATGTCCAGACCCCAGAGTTCTCTTTGTAACCTGAGGCCAATCTTTTTTTTCTCTCTGGGTCTCTCTAAAGCAAGGGATCAGGGGTTGAGTGAAGTGAGACTTTTACAACTTGACAACTTGACTTTTTCTTCCCCATACCCCTAGGAAACCCCTCCTGAAGTTTCCCCAAAGCCATGGACAGCCCTAGTCTGCGTGAGCTTCAACAGCCTCTGCTGGAGGGCACAGGATGTGAGACCCCTGCCCAGAAGCCTGGCAGGCATGAGCTGGGGTCCCCCTTAAGAGAGATAGCCTATGTCGAGTCCCTGAGGGGTTTGCAGTTCCTGTCACCACCTCTTCCCTCTGTGAGCGCTGGCCTCGGGGAACCAGGATCTCCTGATGTTGAGGTAGGAAGAGCAGGCCTTGGTGGAAGGCATGGGAAGGGGCTGGGGTGAGCCTGGCTACGGCCAGCAT